GGCTGAGAGAGCTCTGACAGAAACGGCTCTTTTTCAAGAACAGCTCTGACAGAACTGCGGCTTGCCCAAGGTCATCCAGCCAGGTGCAAGTGGAGGAGTGAGGAATCAAACCCGGTTCTTCCAGATAAGAGTCCACGCACTTAACCACTAAACCAAAGTTCCAAGTCATACTTATCCTATTGATCAGCTGCAGTTGTGAACTAATCGCTATGTTTCATAGAATCACATAGAGTTGGGAGGGGGCCATAGAGGCAATTTAGTCCAGCCCCCTGCTCAATGGAGGATCACCCTGACAAGTGTTTGTCCAGCCACTGCTTATAGACTGCCAGTGAAGAGGAGCTCACCACCTCCCTAGGCAGCTGATTCCACTGTTGCACAACTCTTACTGTAAAAACGTTTTTCCTAATATAGCCTTGCTGGGCAAAAGGCCCGCCCACTTTCCGAAAACATTCGGCAGGTTTCGGTGACGGCTCCCACAGGCACCGCGTTGGAGATCCCCGTGTGACATCCTCTTACGGAACCTGAGCGAGCGACACAAGTTTGCTTAACACACCCAACACCAGAATCCGGAATTTCTGCTCACAGACCCAGCTCTTTGTACAATACACAACGGGAACTGTGGGAATGAACATTTACAAATTCTGTGAGCTAGCTCACACTAACTCAGCTTAGAGGGAACATTGACTGCGAGTCCTCTCCTCTGCTGCCAACAGCTCCCGACCCTCCTCTAAGTGACGGCCCTTCGAATACATAAAGAGACCAAGACCCCCCTCAACCTCAGAATTTCTCACTGGCCGTCTTGAAGCAGCGGCTGGACCAGCGCTTGTCGTTGATGCTCTAGGCTGATCCTGCATTGAGCAGGGGGGCTGGACTACTAGACGGCCTGTAGGGCCCCTTCCAGCTCTGTGATTCTAGGATTCGGTTGTTCAAAAATCTGCAATCAATCAAATCTCCGAAGACCAATCGGAAGCCTTGCTGGGCAAAAGGCCCGCCCACTTTCCGAAAACATTCGGCAGGTTTCGGTGACGGCTCCCACAGGCACCGCGTTGGAGATCCCCGCGTGACATCCTCTTACGGAACCTGAGCGAGCGACGCAAGTTTGCTTAACACACCCAACACCAGAATCCGGGATTTCTGCTCACAGACCCAGCAGCTCTTTGTAATATACACAACGGGAACTGTGGGAATGAACGTTTACCTCCACAGGCACAGGGTCCGGCTCTACCTTCGGGACGGGCTCGGGAGAAGGTTCTTTCGATTCCGGGGTTATGGATGATGCTGGAACATCTGCGTGAAGAAAGGCGGCGCGGTTTTATTTATTTATTTCATTCCTCGTTTTTCTCTCCAACCGGGATGCCCAAAGCGGGTGACGCTGATCTCCGCTCCTCAATTGTCTCCTCACAACAGCCCTGTGAGGTAGGCTAGGCTGAGAGCCTTTGACTAGCCCAAGCCTATCCAGAGCGCTTCCAGGGCAGAGCAGGGATTTAACCCTGAGATGCCCTGATCCCAGTCTGGCATCCCAACTGCTACACCCCGCTGGAATCCTGTTAAGAATTCCAGACTTTACCATGTCGGGCCGTGTTGAGTCACACTTCTCCGGTTGACACCGAGACAAAACTTTTCATGCGGGAGTTTTTAAAATGAGCTGCCAAAACACGCTGCCAGATTTGGGGGGGGAGGGTACAGGGCCGGCCCCAGCTTATTTTGCACCCCAGGCGAGGATCCCTACTGACGCCCCCCCGTGCGCCGCCCCCTTCCCCTGTGCGCCGCCCCCATCCCCCCCCGCAATGCCAGTA